GCCCGATCATAGTAATGAATTTCTACTCTATTGAAAGGCACGAACAAGAGTGGGGAATACTTTGAGCTGAATTCTGCACAATGGAAGAAACCTTAAAGAAATGAAAATACTCTCAAGTGTGTAGCATTATTGATAGGCATTTATTGCTGTACTAAAGCCCTCAAGCAATAGTTCAGCTCCAACTCTAATAGTGTGGCAAATTTGAGATGTGCTTCTTTCATCAGCCTTACCTTTATGCGTTTGAATTGACCGCGGAATCAACCCCAGAAGTGCTCTGAATATTGCACTGCTTGCACATTATCCAGTGAGTGGTTCTAGTGGTTCATCTGAGTTCTAGATTTATAATTACGAGCCGATTTTGTTTGGGATTGAATATGCTAGGCCAGAGGCCCACAAGTTTGATACAGTTTTTGCTCTTGTTTATTCTTAAAAAGCATTCAAGCTCTGATATTGGAAATTTCTGATTTCCCTTCCTTGTGCAAATGTGTGTACATATGAATTTATTATCCTAAAAGCTCGTCCCGCTCACTCTCCCCTCCCTGATCGCATTAAAGTCCAAGCTTTTCCATTATTTGTATCCGCAGGCTGTTGGCGATATGTGAGTGCATATCGCATACGAGCCGGCAAGCTAAACAATTTTTTAGTTTTAGTTTTGTTCAGGCAATTTGTGAATTTATTTATAGTCATTTTCAGCAGCAGCACTTTCTGCTGTTGATGGTACTGTTGCTGCTGTTGCTGATGTTGCTGCTTCTGCTGATGTTGCTGCTGTTCGTTCGTGTTAATTAAGAGGTAATTTTAATGCTCCGCTGCATGCGCTGGCATGTGCAACGGGTGGGGTTGGGTGGTGCTCGTGTGGGGAGGGGCAGTGGATTTCGACTTTCGATTTTCGAATCGCAATTTTCAAAATCGGGCACTTCACAATCTTATTTTCTCGCTCTTTATTTTCTCCCCTTGAATATCTTTTTGGGCTTCAGACAAAGTTAATTGGATTATGTTGAGTTGAATTCAGCGATTCATAATCAAAATTTCCATTATAAAACTTACTCAATCAGAATTGCATAAATTAGGCCATGCAGATGCCATGATTCAAAATTATAACAATATTCATATGTATGCATATTTTGGTTTGAGTATACACACATACATACATATATATCGTTGTGTACGTGTGTACATAATTGTATGTGCAAATATATGTGTGCATGCTGGAAGTATCTGCCATTTCACGTTAAGTGTCAGGGCTGTCAGAACGTTTGACAATTTTCCCTGCGATTTGCCATTTGATTATTTTTCAATTGAATTGTTTCTACCTCGACCGCCCGCTGACCTTTTATTCAGTTTATGTTTTAATTGCAAAATTAATATCAATTATGCTGCATGTCCTCAGTGCTCAGCGAATTCTGTTTCTGAATGCAAGTCTACAAATTTGAAAATCTGTATGCCCATGTATGCCCCCGAAGGAGTTTTGCTCCAGATACTTGAGACCCCCAAAGATATACTCTTTTCCATTGCAGCTGTCGAATATCGGGACCACGTGCCGTGGTGGAAAAGTTGAAAGTGAAAATCTAAGAAGAAAATCGGCAAATTCAACACTAGCTCTGGTCATTTTCAGGCGTGACCGCCGAATGGTAGAACTCAATGAAAGCGTCTCCGTTTGATAGAAATCATTCCGATCGTGAATCCAGGCTACGAGTCTCCCTTCTTAGAAAAGATGACGATGAAGTGTGTTGATTGAAAAGTCCAACTGATTTTGTGGGCTGTACTCGGATGCAGTCGACCGAGAATTCTCAAACATTTTTGCTTAGCTGATGATTTTTGTTCCGGGGGAGATTACATTAAAATTAAAAATTCCATCTAAATGTAAATAAAACCAGGATAAAAAATACAATGAAATACAAAGGTGGAATGACGAGGGAAGAGTAGCACAAGAAAGGAGAAAGACGGGCGAAAGACGGGCCAAAGACGGGCGAAAGACGGCCGGACGAACAAAGGGAATTGTGAAACTAAATGAATATGAAGCCATCAGCAGTGCCACATGCAGCAACAACAAATTCCTGGAGTGGTACAGAGGAGGATGTTGAGGCTGTAGGGGAAAATGGAAAAAAGCGCAAAGTGACGAAGCGACGAAGCGACGAAGGCGACAGGCGGCGGCGGAAAAATGCCGCCAAACGCAAATACTGCGGCACAATTTCATTTTTGTTTTTATCTCACTTTTCGTTTTTTCCATTATTAATTTTTGTCTGCTTTTGAATCACACAGAGGCATACGCGCACACACACACACACACACACACACACGCACACAAGCCCTGGCGAAAGGGCGAGAGGTCGAGAGGAAAAGACGCTGCAGCCTGCGGGCAAGAAATTTCTTTAAATTTTCACTTCTTCCCCTCTTTGCTGTTGACAAAATATCCCGCAAGAGCAAAAAAGCAAAAAAAAAAAAAAATGAAGAATCAAAAAAAAACGAGGGGGAACGTTGTGAATTGCTGCGGACACCGCAACTCTACAGTTATACCCGATACTAAGTCAGTATGGCTCTCCTCCGGCAGACGCCGCTAATATTAAGCGACACGACAAAGAGTGCGTGCGAGAGAGACAGAAAATCAGTCTGAGCGTGACGTCGGGCGCTGCGTAGCCACTGCAAATTGATTTGTTTCCTTTGGCTATAAAAATGATCTGATCTGATTCAGATTCAGCAATCTGATAGATATGGTCGTTATCTATGATTCTGCGTTTTTAGTTTTCTCAAATCTGCAATATTGTGGATGCAACAGATTTTCGTCTTTTGTGTGGGCGGAAGGGGGTGGGGCGAATTTTTGAGATATACGTTTTATAGTGAGATCTAACAGAAGTGCGGATACCAAATTTGGTTACTCTAGCTTTAATAGTCTCTGAGATTTGTGAATATCCCCAGATTTGCATCCTTTGCGGGGGCGGAAGGGGGTGTGGCGAAATTTTGAAACAAACTCGTCTCTGTCCGATATATTAGGAGTGTGGATAGCAAATTTGGTTACTCTAGCTTTTATAATCTCTGAGATCTAGGCGCTAATGTTTTACTCTAAGCAAAGCCGCCTATGCTACCTGTGTGTTAGAGAGAGACAGGGCGAGAAAAAATGAAATTGTTTTCTTGATGCTGGCTATAATAGTAATACGATCCAATTCAGATTCTGCAGTCTAAAAGATATGGTCATTCTCTACGATTCTGCGTTTTTTGTTTTCTCGTATCTTTAAAATTGTGGATGCCACAGATTTTCGCCCTTTGTGGGGGCGGAAGTGGGCGGGGCAAAGTTTTGAAATATTTTTGTAGCAGTGACATATCACAGAAGTCTGGATCCAAAACATCGTTGCTCTAGCTCTTATAGTCTTTGAGCATTAGGCGCTGAAGGGGACGGACAGACGGACGGACGGACAGACGGACAGACAGACATGGCTCAATCGACTCGGCTATTGATGCTGATCAAGAATATATATACTTTATGGGGTCGGAAACGATTCCTTCTGGACGTTACACACATCCACTTTTACCACAAATCTAATATACCCCAATACTCATTTTGAGTATCGGGTATAAAAAGAAGAATAGCAATACTCACATTATGAAAATATTAATCAAATGAAATGACAATAAAATGTTTGCTGTTGCGAAATTAAATGAATCGTAAATTTAGAGTGGCCCCAAAAAACGACTGAGATTAAGGAAACTCTTCAACCAGAGATCAGAAGGGGATGGGATGGGATGGGATGGGATGGGATGCATGGAAGAAAACACACACTGAAGAGCCCCCGAAGAAAGCATAAAAGACAGCAAGAAATAAAATAATAGGAGACCCGGATTTGATAAGCATATACAAATTCGACTGGAAATACGTATGGAAAGTGCTCAGTACAACATTCGAGAAGGTCAAGGCGATTTCACATTTTTCATTTAGAGCCTGTTTGGACTGTTCGATTTTAGAATAAATTCATGAACTTCCCTTCTGAGCCGCAAGCAATCTGAAACTTTCGATCGATCAAAATCGATCCTAAGAATACAAAATAGGATAACGTAATTTATAAATACGGTCTTAAAATCATATTAGAATCAAATTGTAACACATTGAATGCAATGTAAACACATACACACATATGTATATACTGTATGGGGATTTCCATGAAAGTATACTCGCTCCTCGAGTATGTATAGCTCTTAAGCCTGAAACATAATTGGTGCTAAGGTTGATTTTGACTATTTTTCGTTTTCCAGGTAGTTGCAAAACACCAAGGCATTCGCACAATTTTGTATACTTTGTGTTGAAGAAGGGTGTTGATTGGGAGTCTAGAAGTTGGTGGTTAGATGGTGTTCTAGAATGCTGAAGAAGATTCATTAGCAGTGTCATTCCTTTCTCGGGAAACAGCAATAGATCTACATATCTAAGCGTATTGCAAATAACAATTATTTTGGTCATACTTCGTATGTAGATACGTATGTATCTGTCTCACATTAACATCTGTACAGTGCACAGATGCATGCCTACATTATCGCAAAACGATCCCCAAACACTCTCTCTCTCTCTCTCTCTCTCTCTCAAACTGCTGCTCCCGAAGGGCTTTCCCCGTACCATTGCATACCCACACTATTTCATGATATTCCATACCATGGCATGGCTTCAGGCACCCTTTGAGGGGCTCAGCGATTTCATTAACAAGGACACACAATGGCATTGTTTTCGCCGAAGTTGTCGCTGCTCCTAATGTTGCCGCTGTCACAAATTTCACTGGCAATTAGCAACAACAGCCTCGGAAAAAATATAATGCCTTTACCGGTTTAATTAGGGGCGCCACAACTGGAATGAGTGGATGGGTGACGGGAGGAGCAAGGGGAGCAGCCATCAATGCTGCAAATTGTCTTCGTTTTCCCCCGCAGCATCAGCAACAACGGCTGCAGAAGTCACAAAAAACTTTCGCTCAAATCAAACGAAAATGTGCACAAAATGAAATAAAATCGTATGAAAAATCACGAACCAGTCAGACCAAGTCCAAGCGGCGGAGACGACGCCAAACGTTGCAAGTTGGTGGCAGGCAGGCCTCGCTTCTGCCACTCCGTTACCACTCCACTGAATGCAGCACAGCAACAAAAAACAAAGAAAACACCGAGCACGTGACAAGAGGAAACAATCCAACTCCAAAACAAATGCGCGGCGTGGCTCGAAAACCCGCTCGAGTTTTGGACAAAGTCAAAGTCAGAGCCAAAGCCAAAGCCAAAGCCAAAACCAAAGCCGGAGTGGCAAGTGGCAAGTGGCAAGTGTAGCACACGCGACGCAGACGCACCGACTGCTGGTTTCCACTGATTGACTACTGTTCAATGAAACTGGCTGTGCCACCGAAGATGATGCTAATGTCGATGTCGATGTCGGTGTCGATGTTTGGTTGATGTTGCGACACGATAGAGACACACGAGGCACACACGCTGAGCTTTCGCTTGCAACTGAAGTTGCCGTCTGATAATGCCGCCTGCCACAGCGGCGGCAGCAGCAATAACGAAGCCAAGACGAGCCCGAAACCGAACCTGCCACACGAATCTCGGGCCGAAGGCGTAACCGAAGCACAGACGTGGTCCGAGCCGAGTCCGAGCGTGAATGCTAAATTGCACACCTCGTTTTTCCACTTTTCCTCAGGCACACACGCACACACTCACGCACAGCCACACAAACACAAACAAAAACACAAGAGCACACAGACAGAAGCGAGTGCAGCGTCTGCATATTCCACATTGGGCGGTGGTGAAAACTTGCGCCAAAATATGGCCATGTCGGTACCGTCACAGTCACCGTCACAGTCACCGTCACAGTCACCGTCCCTCTGCCACCCTCATCCACCCTCTCCAAGCCCCTTATCAGCCTGGTCTGGACCGCTCCCGCCGTTGGCAGAGCGGCTGAAATGATTACTGCAATTGCCTGTTCCTTTTCGGAGCATCTTGGGTGTCGACTCAGTTGGCCAGCATCTTGAGGTGACCGCTTCGGCTTGGGTCACGTGGAAGACGGTGTCCAGAGAGGTGGCGGGGTGGAGGTCCGCGTATGAGAGGCCAATACTGATGGGATGCGTCTGAGTTGATTGATATTTATGATGCGAGTAGACGGAGAAATGCGCATCAAGATACAAATTTGATATGTTGGAATCTAGTATCTTTTAATACCAGATCGAAAGATAGACGAATATATGTATATGTGTATGTATTTAAGTAGGCATTGGACGCTTACAATGATACACATATGTAGAATGGAGGGATAAATTAAGGAACATCTGTACAATAGTCTAGGAAATTCATATATATGCACATACATGTACATACATATGTATGTATGTAGGTATACAAGAAGCAATGGAGAAAAACATGGAGGAATATCTATGTATCTGAATACAAGACTATATAAATAGATAAACAGATGGATAGTTAGAAACAGATAGATAAATGGATATAAATCGAGTCGTCACGTGACACTCCAATAACAGGGACTCAGTTCGTATATACATACATATATCCACAAATGTATCACCAACTAATATATCTTATACAATACATTCCTACGCTATTATTCTAGCTCTTTTCATATCCCAAGACCTGCTAAATCTCTCTCTTTCCGCCATATATCTTGTCCGTTACATGTGTCTCGATCACTGCGCCAGGAGGCACATTCTGGACAAGCAAGAGCGTGATGTGAGGGAGAGCGTAGCAGGGTGCCGAGGGCAAAAAACTATCGGATATTTGTGGCACCTTTAAGCGTTAAATTAATTTGCGCATGTACGTTACGATTAATTGGGAAGGAAAATCTGATTTTCGGATTATTAAATTGGCATTGAATTTAAATATGGAAATGACCTGAAAGCTAACAATACCAAAATAGCTCAGAGTTGCTCAACACAGATCGAACAACTGATGTGGGTCGGACTCCCTCTGAAATGCATTCGTACCTCTTCGTTGGATTGTTGTCAGAACATTTAATGTGTCACATTTGGAATCCACTTATGCAGACCTCGAATTCGAATCGAACGTTTTTGAAAACGGAACAGCCAGCCTGTTTCGCTGAATGCCCAAAGGAATGGCGGTAAATCAGCAAGGTTGTCGGCTCATTATCTACAGCGAGGTGTGGTGTTGACAGTGACCGACAGGGCTTCCAACTCATTATCAGTTAGAGTCTTATTGTTACGGGGGTAAAATGGGAAAAGTTCCGGGGCTGTTGGCCCTCCTCCAACTTGATCCTGAACCCGATCCATTCACGGTCAGCTTAGGGCGTCTACCTTTCTCAATGATTGGTGGGTGGTGGATGGCAGGGAGAGCTAAGACGATTTCAATGCAAATCCCGACACCGGTCCCAGCCCCAAAGCCAAATCAAGGACAGATCGGACGCATGACGTGAAACCCCAAGCCAAAACAAACCAGAAAAGAACAGCATCGAACAGGGCAGACAGACACCATGAAAGCACACACAGATGGTGACAGAGATGGGAGAAAAGAGAAACAAATCCAAAGTCAGATAAGATTCTTAGCCGGTACGGACTACGGATGGGGGACTGGGACTGGGACTGGGACGAGCCAGGGCCAGGGCCAGGTTTGGGGGAAGATTTTGTCGGTCACTTTGGTCCTGGTCCCATGTTACGTGCACTTTTATCTGTGCGCCGCTTCTGGTTCGGGCTCTGTAGCTCCTCCTGCACCCTGTCCCTGCCCCTGGCAGCAGCCACCTTTCATTTGCTCTGCTTTTCTTTCTTATCGGTCGCAATTTCGTTCACTTGCTCCATTTTATACCTCCTTGTCGACGCCATCCCCTATTTTCTACTAAATCTATGACAAATGTAAACAGTCGTCCTTCCATCGTAGCCTTACCCCTCTCCGAAGTGTCCGGGCCCATGCGGGTTGCGGCATGTGGCACTACCCCAGCTCATCTACTCCTTTCTCCTCCCTCGTCCCATGTTTCTGATTGTGTTCGCTTTCAGTTGGCGTTTTATTTCCCCCTGGTTGCAACTTTAGATTAGAGTTAATCAGCTTAGCGTGTCACTTTGACTATTAGAAGCAATGTGTTCGTCTATGGGTTGGGCTGGCTGCCTGCTGACTGCCTGCTGACTGCCTGCTGACTGCCTGCTGACTGCCTGCTGACTGCCTGCTGACTGCCTGCTGGCTGTGGCACGGTAGAACCTGCAACTGGTTTTAATTATGATTTTTCGATATCTTTCAGCTCTATCCTCGCCACAGGCAGCACGATTTGAGGAAGCCCCAGGAGAACACGCATAGTCCATCGTTGTCATCATCGCCACTATGCCAGCCCACGTCTTGGCTCTGGGACTGGAACAGCGACTTTGCCAGTGCCTTTCTCTGTGCCTGTGCCTGTGCCTGAGCCTGTAGCTGGCTCCGAGGCTGGCCCGTAAAGCCGAGCTGGGCCGGATGGTGACTCACTGAAAGAATATACAATCAGCAGCAGTTTTAGAGGAATTAACACGATTCAGACTCCAGACGGCCAACCTTTGCTCCCCATTCTGCTGAATTGTGAATTTTGAACGAATTTCCGAACTCAACTTGATTTCTACTCTCTTTTCACTCTTTGTGATTGATTTTGTCTTACCGGCCTGCTTTTGATTCTGACCCCTCTTCCCCTCCCCGACCCCTTCAGTTGCCTCTAATAGAAAGTGAGGCATGCTTCAAATCACATACGACTAGTTACCCCGCCGCGGCGTCTACGTGGACTTGGACACGCTGCTCCACTAACCAGAGAGGAGGTGGCATCGCCACCTCTATATATTTTCACCGGCCCGATGTCTGTCCACGAGTCCCACTCAAACAGGATTTTCTAGTTGTGCCGACTTAGAAAGTAACAGTGACATGGCTTACAAAGACAGCTGTTTCAACAGATCTGCTGCTACAGCAGCCAGTGCAGCGACATTCATTGATTGCCTTTTTGGCATAAGTTTCAATTTATTTCACTTTGAGTGTGATGGATGGCACCAGCGACAGCCCCAAACGCGAACGCGAACGGGTACGGGTACGGGTACGGGTACGGGTACGGGAACGACAGACCCAAGCTATCAATTGCACATGCCAACCCCTGGTCCCACCGAGGAAAGGGAAAGCAAAGCCCCTTTTGGGGTGCACTTCTAATGCCAAAACAATTGTTGCTCCAAAATAAATCTACATCATTACACACAAACGCAAACAATAGGAGCCGCAATTGCAATTGAATTGGAATCGAATTGAATTGGGAAATTGAGACAAGATGCTGCAAGAACATGACCAAACGAAGGCCGTGTCTTTGTATACCCTCTCAGATGTACATATCTTTCCAATGGCAGCTAGCTGTATGTACATAGGTATCGGGGCTTAAAAATGTTCCATGTACTATAGAGTTAATGCCCGATTCGACAACGTTTCGAGGTTGCGACTTGAGTTGAAAGTTGAAAAATATGATTTATGGCCGATGGTTGCTATGGTATCTAAAATATAATACATATGTATGTATGTATGTAAGCTTATAACTATTTATCCTAAACAACAAGTTTTTAAAGAGTCCCGGCCACGCACTCTCTCCCTTTCACACTCTTCCCCGCCAGGTGGCGGCCCAGGCAGGGCAAGCGAGATGTAACGGCTGAATGGCACTTCGTTTGTGGAAAGAGAGAGAAGGCGTAAGATATTCAACGGACGGCGATTGAATACAGCCATAAAATATGTCATATATATATGGAGGGAATAGAGATAGACGCTCTCTCGCTCACCCTCATCACTGCCATGTCCTTTCTCATGAAAAGTGCACGGAAATTAGATAGAGATGCGCGGTCTGCTTTGTCCATGTACTACCACAATCTTCACAAATCAGTCTGTCCATTTTGCGAATAGCATATCGAAAGGACAGAGAGGGAGAGGGAGCAGGCGGAGACGCGTTTCCCAACGTTTCGAATAAATTTGTGTGACAAATTTGTATTTTTCTTGAAAACAAAACAGGACCTTTAGCAGAAAACTAAATAAACGAAATCCTCTGTTGATCTGATATTGTATGAAAATAATTTATCGAGTCAGAAATTATTCCTTTTCTTCAATTAAAACATCTGCACGAAATCAGAATACCATCGGTATCAATAGAAAAGTCAGTAAATTCAAACCACTTGAGGAAAATTGACAAGCAATCAGCTGGTCATTGTACGGTGCGGGTCGGGCGTGTGCTGGGAATGTGGGGAGGATGCTCTCACGAGCAGGAGTGGATTCGAGGATTCGGCTACTACTTGAAAAATA